GTTTATACAAAACTGAGAACCCTTTGGCCAATGATGCTCCTGACCAAGCTTCAGACTGCATTTGGTTTAAATCCCTTCACTTGTATAGTAGGAGAGAAAAAATCCTCTACTTCCCCTATTTGGCCCCGCCCCTCTGCCCCCAAAGAGGCCACACCCTCCGTTTATACAAACTTGAGTCTCCTTTGTCCAAAGATGCTCTAGGACAAATTTGGTCAAAATCCTCTGAGCCATTCAGGACAAGTAGCATTTTAAAGGAAAAAGTTGACGGACCAGGTGAGCTAAAAAATATATTGTTATAGCCTTACCTATATGCAAGACCTACCTGGAGACAATCTCAACCACTCTCTCAACAGGGTTCGCACTTCTGTTATAGTCACTGCCCCACACAAATTCACAGCCTTCTGATTGGTTGACTCCACCCCATCAAGTACGAAGCCTTCAGATTCATTGGTTGTACTGTCACTGTGAACAGGAGTGCCCTGGTTAACCTCATGGGCTGGTTGGTCTGCCGTAACAATATTTAGTCCTTGCAGACTGTCTTTAAGTATGGTGGCTCGGAATTCGTGCTGTGAAGGAAGAGGAAATGTGAAATACCTATACATACCAACTTTATACAGTCAATAAAAATAATGAATGACTCTAGACCTGTTTCTGAAACGACAAATATCAATAAATATATCTACATTGTAGTATATGTGTGAATTGAACTCCTTTACCTACAGCAGATTACAGGTAATATACATTATCTACCTATAGGTAATAAGTGATATACCAATCTTATTGGTATACAGTATTACAGGTATACCAGGTAAAGGATCAAGTAAATACCAGACACATATACAGCTTACCAGACACAGCTTACCAGACACATATACAGCTTACCAGACACAGCTTACCAGACACATATACAGCTTACCTGTTTGTTGCCAACACTGGCAGTAATTTTGGGTTGACGCCGAGTTTGGAATTCAAGTTTTTTTGGTCTACCCCTTCTTGGTTTACCCCGCGGAATTTTAAAGTTAGGACTTTTCCTGTTTGCCCCTGGTGAACGTGACTTGGCTGGAGAGCGGGTCTTTTCCGGGGATCGTTTGGATGGGGAGGAGGCTTGCTGAAGGTTAAGTACTGGTCTGGTGACTTCTTCACCCTCCTGCCTTACGTAGGCTTGTCGTATCTCGTTCTGTAACTCCTCCGGTAGCGCACTCAAACAACTCTCGTCTAACTGTTACATAGAAGGCATAAGCAAATTATCAATAAATCAATATTACTGCTTGTGAATGTCTATATCAGAAACAAATACCTTATAATTGTGTTGGTTTACCAATACCTTTATTTATTTCCACATTATATCAGAAACAGTCGACAAGGTGGTTCTCACACGATTAAATAGGGATAGTTAAAGCAATATGACGACGAGTCCTTTCTGGATTATTTGGTGCTTATGGTTGGCAATAGCGAAAGGTTACAGTAGGAGTTTTTACCTGAGATAGAGAAGGCAAGGGCTCTATAGCAATGTTGTCCCTGTGATCTCCATTAGTCCTTTGTCTTGACCAATTAGAACATCCAGGTAGTTCAGCGATAGATTCTTTACCATGGGTAGAGGAGCTGTTTTCACTGACTGAATGTCCTTTACCAATGATACGAGGCTCAAATCCCACAGCTGAATTACTGCCCTGTCGTTTTTTGATGGCCATGTCATTCTCCACTTGTCTTCGGATGTCTGGGGGCAATTCTCTCAGCACACTGGGATCTATCTGCAGCCAAGTCAAAGTAAAGAGTTAAATCCTCAACATAACTTTGTTACATGTATTCAAGGTATGAAAATGTTGAGCACTTTAGACAGTACAGAAGTAGATATAGTACAATCTTTTCTAATCAAGTCTTGGCTTGTTTTGGTAACAAAACTGAAATAAGTGGATAGATGGATCGAGTGCTGAAGTAATTTCCATGCAGGCTGGGTTCTTTCCCCAACAGGAATATGCTAATTTCTCATAAATTAATATAGCATATTGCTTGCTGCCAGGGCAATGGGTAAACTGATATATGCAAAATATTACCCCATGTACAAGAGGCCCCAGAAGCCTTGATACTGACATGAGATTTATAACTTACCAGGTAATTAAATGGTGAAAAGATGAACAGACACTGTAAGAACCACTATTAATATGACACTTCACAATAATGTTTACAGCATTCTGATCATACTCGAAGTTCAAATAGACATTCAAGATGACTACAATGGCAGCTATATTTTGATTTCAAATCAATCCAAAGTTAATAACAATTGGTGTTGACCATATTATAAACATTTCTAATTTGACAAAATCACTCTGGTAAAATTTGAGTTTGAATTCCAAATCGATTTTCAAAATGGTTGCCATGGTGGCCATAACAGCAGATGGTGGTAGCTCAAAGGACACTTACTAAAATGAGCTTACTACATGCACAGATTAAACAAGCAGAAGTTTATTAATAATTTCCAAATCAGGGTTGTCCTTTCTTACCTGTGAGGGTGATGGCATAGTGTCTGCAGCTTCTAAGGCACTTGTCAAATAGTCGTTTTGATTGGTTGAGTTATCTGACCAATGAGAGCATCCAGGCCTTTCATCAACCATACCTCTTGTCCTATCAGATTTGCTGCTACATGGAGTGTTTTGATTGGCTGGATGCCTGTGCACATCCTTTTTTCTCCTGGAAGCCATTTCCTTCTCAACCTGTCTGCGTATGTCTGGGGGGAGTTCGTTGAGTACACTTGGGTCAATCTGTAATAAAGAAGAAGACAGCTATATTTCTCAAATGATATAAGAAAATCAATTTCTCAGACAACAACCAGCGCATTTAACAAGAGCATTTGTCTGTTTCCTTTTTTTGTTTCATTCATTTTCATTCAAATAGCTAGAAAATGTTTGTAAGGCAAGAATGTCACCGCTGCCATGCAATTAAGTGTTTTTTTGGTTTTTTTACAAATTTCTATAAATAACAATAGTGATCTTGACTGCTGGTTTCTGAAACAAGAACTCATTTGAACTACGTGTATTCTCCTACTCGACTTTTGTTTCAAGTCTGATCTCAATCTGTTAACAAATGAAGTTGCTGGAGTGATGTTACTGACTGGTTCACAAATTTCTATATATAGTCATGCTGACCTTTGCCTTGACCTTGGAGCCCATAAATAAATACTTGTTCAAGGTAATCTCATACTTATTCCCTTGTTCAATGAAGCTGCTAAAGCAATGAAATCATGAATCAGGACGGCACGCAACAGGAAACTACAGGGTACATGGACAACACAATTTGCAATTTGACATCCCCACCACCCAATAAAATATATATTTTAATCCAGTCCATCTAGTGTTCAGCTTTGTCACTCATTTTCAAAACTTGTTGACTTAAGATCTCATTGAGTAGTAATATTTTGAAAATGATTACATTATATATGTAAAAATAGATTTTATTTCTGTTAAAAATGTAGCCCTAATATGTCACAGAACCCTGGTGTTGATGCTCCAACACTTTTCTACTGGTATTATAAGTCAGACTTGCTGATGTTGAACACACACCTGAGAAGGAGAGGGGAAGTAATCCTGGATTCCAGATGTACCGACATCACCATCACCAGTACCCACCTCTGGAGACCCAGATATATCGGGTAGGGACGGCAGCGGGGGAAGGAACCTCTTCGCTGTCTTTCTCCTGTAGAAACAGATTTCATACACCACTGTTGATGTTATATAATATATCTTACCTTCATTTTATAAGATATCTATTTTTATATGTGTCAAGTCTCTTACTTTTTATAAAAGGGAAATCTAAATGATTATGAAATTTCACAAAGATCTATACATACTTTTGGATAAAGGAGATATTAAACAATCATCAAATGTCAAAATAAAAGATGGCAGTCTAGCACCAAGGAGAACCAAATATGTAATTTGACCAGGAGGATAGCTTGTTCTTCTGTTCTAAAACATGTACCCCCAACATGTAAATGTTAACTCTTCCCATCATAATAAAATGAGGAAACATCTACCCACACTAAGTTTTATCCAGGGATTTTGGGATATATACATTTGTGTGAAATTGTCTGGGATTAGGTATGTTACCTTGACAACTCGTCTACGATGTTGTGACAGTATCCCCCTAGGAAGTCGTTACCACTATCACCAGATTTAGGCTCCAGCACCGAATCTCTCTCATCAGGTAAGTCATTCAAAACCTCAGTTTGACCTCCCTCCTGCCTAACAATGCTCGTGTGACCTTCGGTGGAAGTCTCAATGTCAAGGTCAACCAGGTTAGGTAAGGATGAGGTCACTGTTGCACAGGGGGATTTAGACAAACTTTTAATTGGTGATGCTGAAAAAAAAGAAATTTATATTTATATTTTTTTTATTAAGATAGTGTTAACCATTTTACGTTATTGTTTTATATCAAACAATTAAGCATCACCTCTTAATAGCATTAAATACGGTACACATGTATATTTTACCAATTAACATATTTTTCTTGATTTTAAATATTGCCCTATATTACAACTGTGCTATTTGAAGTTTCTGTCTATTGTTTTCTATTTCATATAATGTGAGTGCACCATTTCATCAATATGCTAATGTGTTAAAATTCAATAATGTGCTTTAATATGTAGATTTAACAGTAGTTGAACATGTTCTTTCTGACATCACAATCATTACCTTGTTTAGACACAGTAAAGTTTAGGATGCTTTGAGCCCCCTTGGTCGACTTGTGACCCCCAAGGGTGCTGGGCTCTAGGCGCTGTAGCTGAATACCAATGCCTCGCAGGTCACTAGCCTTGACCTTCATATTATGTAAGATTCCAAGGCACTCCTTACTGATGACCTTGGCGTCGTCTGTTGCCATAGGCAACGTAACTGATTTGGACAGGTTGTTGCAGATACCATGACCTAAATGTTATGAAAATTCATAAATGACTATTTCCAGATACAGCCTTAGAATAAACAGACATAAAACAGGCATAACATCCACTTAAAACATAATTAAAAAAACATTTACGAACTGCTGCAAATCATTCCCAGAAAGTCCTCTTCAACCAAAATGTATCTGATAATCTTGAGCTTTTGCTCTGTGAAAGCATATCCTCAAACAAAACTGACTGAATCATTGATATATTTTTATTCGTTTTATTTCATTATATTTAGGTAAATAACAAATTCAATTCAATACCATATTTGCCAACTCTCCCTATTTATGAGGGAGACTCGATTTTGGACCCTTACATTTAGTATTTTCAACCAGTTAATTTGTTAAACTAACCATATATTCTCAGATCTCATCTGAAAGAACAACTGAGAAAGGGTTATTCTGTCTCTTCGGGACACTCACTTTATTTAGGTTTTAACTTTGCGAAAAAAGAATCTCCCCAATAGAAATTTCAAAAAGATGGCAAGTATGCAGTACTACAAGAGGAATAAGCTGGGAAATCCCATTTGAACAAATTCTCATTTGGAAAAATTATATTTACTAACTGAGTCAGAATTTGACAGATTTTAAATAGAAATTTTGAAATTTGAGCCACCTTATACTGGAGAATAACTATTTACCCATAAATTTGGAAGTTTCCACAGGAGCGCCCTCGCGCCTGACCATGACTTTGAGAGTGATAGTCTTCCCCTTTCTGTCTATGTTCGTTAGGCGGGTATGCACTTCCTCCGACAAATCGGTCAGAAACTTCTCTGCTTCACCATTCTGTTGAATCAGAAATGAAAGATACCGCACAAACTGAAGTTTTATCTTAGCTGTTAACACAGAATGTTGGATCAGGGTTATTCTAGTGAGGGGAGGAAGACAATTATATGACATTTTACGAGTGATGGGATAACACAGATTCTACAGTCTTTCTACTTCATCAGTATTAACACATTCCTTACATAAATAGGTATTATGAGAACTCATACACTACAATTTTGAATATATTTTATTTAGTTATATAGCATGTAGCTATCCAATCTTCAGCAAAAGTTTAAAATTGTGATGTAAAATGTTATTATCTATATCACGTCTCTTCTATTTCTGGTATTTTGAGTAGCTCACTTGCTTAGTGTAGTGCTGGCCATTACCTTTTTTCAAACTTTGATATATAAATGTAATGTTCCTACAAAACTCAAATATTATGCCAGTGTTGTAATTAATATCCATGGTGTAGATAATTGGTATCCATGGTGTACTCAAGTATTATTGACTTACATGTTTGAAGCGAATGCCATAGTTTATTTCCGCAGAAACTGACTTCCTCTCCTGCTCAGTTTTGATTGGGCGATCATCCTCTCCACGACAGTACCTGTACAGTGATTGGCCAGTTTTGGGTCCAAACTCCTTCTGGAGGACCCCTAGGGACACCTTTTGTAGATCTCCACATTTCTCCACGTTCATGGTTTTTAATTTTTTGGACATAGACCAACCAACACCTGGTATGATAGAAATTTAATTAATAAGTCTCTAATTATTTCATTGATATCTTACATGTAGTATCAGCCCATCAAATTCAAAATTAATTCAATATTTCTCGGTGGTGAAAAATACAAAGGAGGCAAATATTTTCTTTTTTAACAGTACATTGTTGTCAATACAAATTTGCTCATTCTGCTTTTATTTTACTCAGGAAGGAGTCAGACAAAATAATAAACTCTGTGGGGAAATTACACCTAATGGTACCATAGTTCAGTAGTTGTGAAAGAGAAATTGTTCAGTCAATCAAGCTTGTCAGATCAGGAAAAAACTTTCATGGTGTTCAGAGCTTAAAAACACTGTCATGGAATTGAGACAGTAAAAAAGCTGTGTATGATTCTAATAGGATATTCCGTTTCCTTTTTAGCATTTTCTTAAAAAGGTTTCTTTTATAATAAAAGGGAGCTGCAAACTTACCTGGAATGTTCTGAATAGTCTGATCACTGATAAAGTCCAGTACGTCCTCAGACTGAAGAAAATTTTGACCATTAGGCTTAGCCTTCCTTGTAGCCATCTTGGCCAACAGGATGTTGGATCCTATAGATATGAAATGTGGTTAATATTGGTATGAATTTACAGTAGAACACTGTTCATCTGAATTCAATAGCCCACTTGTACCACTATATCTCCTCAGTAAGCACTGGGAACTAGTTTCCGATATGCTATTTTGACCAGTATGTCTGGTTATCTCATTACCAGCTATGGCTGGCAATCCTGGGCTAGATTTCCATTTTCATATAAAATGATTTTCATGTATGAAATGGTTCATTTATTTGGCCAACTGGTCAGATAAATGTTAGAAATAGGTCAAACACAATATCATGTTCCCTCCTATTCTAACTTTACAGCACACAAAAAAACCATAGCATTAAAAGTACTGAGGGTTGGAAAAAAGGATGCAGTAACATTACAGGAAGTAAAGAGGTTAGCAATGAGGTTAAGATTAGATTAGTGATCTAGAATATTGGTGGAAGTATTGAGACAACTATACATGTGAAACGTATCCAATATGGATACAAGCCATTTCCTGTTTAAAACATCAAATTAAAACCTAGCTGTTCAAAGCCTAAATAATTTACCCACAAATTAACACTAACCTTTCATCCAGCATATTCTCAAAACACTGAAATTCATAATTAAATCTTCATTTCTTAATTCAATAGAAGTAAAGTAAGTCAGTCACTAGTTACATCCGAGTACTGTCACATAATTTAAGAGACTTTACCCATGCCTGCTGAAGCAGGACAGCCAGTCTGTTCCAGGAGTTCCTGTCGGAGGAGTGAGGCGAATTCCAGGGGTTCAGCCCCGGTAATGGACAGCAGGTCAGTACAGTCTACCAACATCTCATCACAACTGACAGCCTCGATGTCATGTGTATACCTGACCAGGCAAACACATTATGACAATAAGCCAATTTTATCACGAAAACAGTAGAATATATATGACAGGCAAAGATGATACATTGACAAAGGGTGGTTCAGAACCCCTGATTTCTGAATTTTCTCTAGCTCAAATTATACATCAATACCGTTCTCATATATATAGTGTGCTAACAGCTTGATTGAAAAGACAGGCAAAAATTGGACAACTTCTATGTTTTCCAGGGATCAAAAATAACATGCTTCTTGAAACTGGGCAATTTAAAAGGAGGATAAAAGGTTCAATAGGCCTGTATCAATCATCTCTTTTTCAATGCTGTTGAAAAACACGTCTCACATCTGTGACCTTGAAAGTGTGTGAAGGTCATTCATTTGAATGTTCTTCATAACCCTTTACACAAGCATGTTACTGACCCTAGGCCTCCTGGTTGTTCAAAAGAAGTTGTAGAAAGATTTTAACACATTTGACCAAGGTCAAGGTTATTCATTTAAATAAAATTTAATATCTCTTCATTATAGTATGTTACTGGGCAAATATCATTAGGCCTCTCGGTTATTCAGAAGGGGGTGGAATAAATAGATACAAAAATGACCATAACATACCTGGCAACGGTGTCATATAGGATCTTGGACACTTCTTGGTAGCCTTCAAAGTCGTACGGAATGGTCAGTAGTCCTGGACACAGTTGCTTGGCCTTTCCCATGAACATTCCGTTACGGACGCCAGACTATAAACAATGTCATTAAGAATTACCACTGGTTAGATAGAGCTCAGAAATCAGTTATAACTCAATCCAAAACTTACTTGCAAGATCCCATCTACAGTTACACAATGATTATAAATTGATTTGTTTGCCGTGAAAAATTGTAGGTATGATATGTACATTTAAGAAGATATTATTAGGCATTCCCTATTCGTTTTGATCAGACAAGAAATTTGTGTTTTTACTAAGACTATATTTGTTACAGGCAATTAAACCTTTTTTTTTGATTAAACACAATGAAAAAAATCACCTGTCTAGCTTCATAGCTACATGAGGCAATCTCGGCCATGGAGTGGAAGGACTCCTGTGCTGGCTGGGGAGTATCTATGTCATCATTGTTGTCATCCTCTTCACTGCCCTCCTCTATACCTTCATCTAACATTGGTTGTTGTGTGGGGAGCTGACGTTTTCTACCTTTCTTGCCACCTTGGTTACGCCTGAGTTCCCACTGCTGCCGTTCGTAGGCGGGGTTCGACCCTGGTATGGGGGCCTTCATGCCTTGACCCCTAGAGTGAGTCACAGCCACAGGTTTCCCTAAAGTATAGTATTGATATGTTTTGTTACCATTCACACCTGGCACATAAATCAGGGGTGTACAAACTCATAATTAGAGTACTAGCCTGCAGGATGATTTGAAAAGTTCTACTAGCCCGCTATCATTGTTAAGTAAATATTGAAAACAATCACTAGTCCCAACATCTGCAAGCCCCGGGCATCAGTCTGGTGGAAATTTACACCCCTGAGATTAGCTTAAAACTATCTTGACTTCATATATGTTTAATCTTTTTCCAGATGTATATTTCATAACTCTGAAATTTGTTAGGTTGCAATGAAAAGCTACCTGTACTAATTTACTTACCTTGAAGATCTGGCCTTTTCCTTAAACCAACTGACACGAAGAAACAGTCCATGTCTACATGCATAATGATGTGGGGTGGTTTTCCACACTGTTTTGGTTCCAAATTATGTCCATTACCCAGCATGCTTTTCATGTCCTGATGCCTCCTGCTGGCTACCTCCATCAGCTTGGTCCTCCCAGGGAAGTCTTGACCCTGATCTTGTAGTGTCTTCACATAGGCGCGCCACTCTGACTTCCACGTGGACAGATGATGAAGGCGAGAATTGGAATAGAACTCATTCAAGAATGCTGGCTCCCCTGCCTTGGCTATCCCAGTCCGTTTTGAGCTTGGTATTCCATGGCCATTTACAACAGTACTCTGACCTATGTTATTAGGGGAGATAATATCGGCAGTGCTAACATTCTGGGCCACCCGGTCACCTGGTATTACTCCCCTTGGTTGATGGCCATGACTAATTTCAGATTCAGGAGGATGTTTTTTAAAGTCTTGGTTATCTAAAAGTAACAAGTCATCATTGTCTGCATCACTCATGCTTTCCTCCTCTTCCCATGGGTTCAGTTGTCTTCTGGATTCATCACAATCTGATTTCAAATTCTCTGTTTCCACCAAAGAATGATCTACACTGCTTTGAAAAGAAACACTGTTATCAGGTGAAGTTTCCATCTTGTTTAAATATGATGTGACCATTTCCATGGTAGATGCTGTGCTGCTGTGACGAGTGACTGCGTGGGTGGAGAATGTCTCTAAGCCCTTTTGTTTACCTCCCTGATTGGTGTACAGTAGATACTGGGAGTAGGATAACAGTCGTCCAGCCTTGATACTGCAATGTCAAACACCACAACATTATATACTATACAAGAGACCCAGAGGGCCTGTATCGCTCACCTGGATATCTAAGCAGTAATGGCAAAATATTCTCCAAATAAGATCCCAGGAATAGGGTCAGACCCCAAGGCCAATCCTTGTAACATATCTGTTTTTGATTTTTCATGCCCAGCAATTGTATGTATGGTTATGGGGTGGAGATCTCAACTGTTTCCAAGTTGTGACTTAGAAACTAGGTATATATAGATTTGGGGTGGGGATCTCAACTGTTTCAAAGTTATGACCTAGGGGTTAAGTTTCCAAGGGTGAGGCCAGACCCCAGAAGAATCCTGTAAGCATATGTGCATTCATCTCTCGGCCCCACCAATTGTACAATTTTAAATCCCCACCACCTAAGGATGCTTCCAACCAAATGTTGTTGATCAATATAGCCAAATAACTCTTTTTGGCCCCGCCCCTCAGCCCCCTGAAGGTCAGCCCCATCAATTGTATAATATCGAATCCCCACCACCTAGTGATGCTTCCAGCCAAATTAAGTTAAATTCCAATCAGTGGTTAAGAAGAAGAAGTTGTTTGAAGAAATTGTGACGTACTGACGACGGACGCCACGGTATGGCATAAGCTCACATTGGTCCTTTGGACCAGGTGAGCCAACAATTTGACACTGCAATGTCAATCACTATAAAATTGTATATATCCTACAATGTGACACTGCAATGTATAACACCACAACATTATATATCATGCAATGTGACACTGCAGACACTCTAGTCTGAACACCTACCTGTTTGTGATCCTTTCTGGTCTCACCACCTTCCTGTCTAAGATCCACTCTGGTCTGACCACCTACCTGTTTGTGATCCTTTCTGGTCTCACCCCCTTCCTGTCTGTGATCCACTCTGGTCTGACCACCTACCTGTTTGTGATCCTTTCTGGTCTCACCACCTTCCTGTCTAAGATCCACTCTGGTCTGACCACTTACCTGTCTGTGATCCACTCTGGTCTGATCACTTACCTGTCTGTGATCCACTCTGGTCTGACCACCTTCCTGTATACGATCCACTCTGGTCTGACCACTTACCTGTCTGTGATCCACTCTGGTCTGATCACTTACCTGTCTGTGATCCACTCTGGTCTCACTACCTTCCTGTCTGTGATCCACTCTGGTCTGACCACTTACCTGTCTGTGATCCACTCTGGTCTGACCACTTTCCCATTCTTCATCAGATCCTTAATCTTACTGTTGGTCAGGTTTGTGGCGATGATGTGGGTCACCCTTGTCCTGTACAGGTAGTGTTCGTACCGGCCTCCATGGATCAAAACCAAGCGCTTCAGCTCATCTGATGATGGCCCTGTGTCAATTTAAATGACAGCTGTGAATAGTTGATGATTGAGACCACTTATTCAAGATCCAATTAACTGCTCTGGATTTCATATCCCATACAGAATAGCAAGTGAAATGAGCATTCAGTTCACAAGGGCTGCCACTAGATCACAATGCTTATACATTTAGACAATGTTTAGAGGTCAGACAAAATTTGTATCAAACTCCAGATTTGAAAGTGTGCGCCTACCTACCCTACATAAACTTTCCAACTGTTAACTACAATACAAACAGGATAACTCTGTAAAATGAAGAAAATAAGGTAAACATTTTTGAAAAATTGAAATAACTGCGGACTATAAGGTCAAGTAAATATTAACAGAACAGATCAGGCTAGTATTAAAAGTAGGGGTCACCAGTTTACCGGTTAGTCAACAACGACAGGCCACATCAGGCTGTACCTAAAACAGGAGCCACCAAATTAAATGAACGCTGGGAGGCCTTATTGGGCTTGTAATTGACATATATGAGCCTTCAGAAAATGTTTCACCAAGGATGACTGGATTTTGATTCAAAACAGAAAAGACTTGTACATACTTGTGTATCCATTGACATGAATGGCTACTCCTTTGAAGATGTTACTGGTTTCTCCACTAGGCTTGATATCTGTTCTGTTCTGATCCTGCAGCTTCTGCATCTTGGCTGCCATGTAACCTCCCTACAAAGGACACGAGTATTTGTGATTGATTAAAACAATATTATCTAACATAGACATTTTGTTTTTTTGTAAAAACAACACATACTGTTCAAATTAAATGTGCTGATGTACCTCTTTCAATCATTTTGATGATCTGGATTGAAATAAAAAAAAAACTATCAACCCAACTCCCCCACCCTTCCTATTAAGTGGTACTTAATCTTTGGGCACTCTCAGACTATTTAGACTCTACCTAATCATTGTATTTTTTTTGTACTTTATGGTCTATTTATTCATAGCTAATTGGTCATTTAAGGACAAACTAGGTTTTTGGTGGTGGAGGGAAAAGAGAAAACACTGACCTGCAGCCAGTGCCTGGTGACTGCCCCATGTAGGCCTCGAACCCCCGACCTAGTGGTTGAGGGCTTGTGATCGACTGATCGTAGACAGTCATACACCTTAACCATTCAGCCCCTCATTAGTTATGAATGTAATGTCTAGTCTGGATTAACTATAAATAGTGTGAACTTCTGGTAAATATACCTACAAACAACTGAGAGATAGGGCTTTAGCTGACCATAACAGTGGATAATACCCTGTAATACTGACCTGTGCTTCCCAGCCACTTTCTGTATACATACGACTTTGGCCCCGTCCAGTGTTGCTGGAAACGGCATCTCGCTTCCCACGTCTCGACATTATTAAAGGGTATGTTCAATTCAGACATGTAGATGTATCAACATCTGAAAAAAAATTATACATAAAAAATATAAATTAGAGTCATCCATTCAACATTCCAAAAAGACTGTCTTGGTAATCTCAGTAACAAAAGGCCTGATGGTTCTGTATCACTTACCTGTAATTCAATGCTGTTTGCAAACATGTCACATCTGTGACCTTCGAAGTTGGTGAAAATCAAATTGTTATATAGAATCTTACATGAGTTTCCTTTTCATATGAGATTTATGAAACGAGTCTAAGAATTTTTCAATTAAGCGAGCCTCTCAGAGGAGTTCAAATGAAAAACTCGTGACAAGTTTCATAAATTTCATATATGTAATGGAAAGGAGCGTAAGATCCTTTTTATCACATAAGATTTGCGGCATTTATTCGTGTAAAACGACAATTTTCATGCAATCTTGAAATGTAAAAAGCCACCAGTCTGTGACGTCATGTACTTGTCCTAAGGGTGACGTCACAATCGAAACAATTGAAACTTACAACCAATCACAGGGTTGATAGGTCATATAACATGGGTTAATATGCAAACAAATATGACATGGGTATATTTACTGGATAACACACTACATTATGTGATAAATTATTATTCTACACCTTTTTGATATTGTTGAAAGATTTTAACTTATTTCACTCAAGTTTTTCACACATGTAAGCCAAGGCAATTTACTTGAACAAACTAGAATTCATTCCAGCGAGCCAAAAGCCTCAGTCACTGTAGACCTCATGGATCTTTCCAAAGTTGTTGAAAAATTTCAATAAATTCAATCTCTGTGACCTTATAATAAAGGTAATTTCTTTCGTTTTTACAATATTTGTAGCACTGACCATACAGTAGTTAACTCAATGGTCACTGCCATTATCACAACTACAGTATTGTTTCCACATATGATAGATGACTTTTTTACAATTAAAAATGTCTTAGTGGGATGGAGGGGGGTGACTGTGTGAATATTAAATGTCCAAGTCTGGTGTCATTAGGCCAGAGGAAACTGATCATCTGGCTTAATTTGGTTTGGTGCGAACTTCAATAAATGAAGTATACCGGTCATGTCCATGATGTATTATACTCTAAACATGATTCATCAAAGATTATTCATTTAACTCTTCCAAGAAACTGTTGACAGCGAGGATTTCAAATCTGTAGGCCAGCTGACAAATGGTTTTACATTGAATCATAGTTAATTTATCGGAGTTAACATTTCGGACTAGTAATTATAGATATAAAACAGGTTTGGCACGCAACAGCGCACTTAGTATGGGTAATAATTACAATCCTACATTTAGGTAACAATTACCCATTACATGAGTAACAATTTTTCAGGATTATTACTCTTGAGTGAGTGAGTGAGTGAACCTGTATATAAATACCATTTAAACAAAGTAGATTGGATTACCGTGGAAGCCTGTTGTTTATTTCTCACATCTTGCTACTTATAACTTATAAGAGGGGTGACCAGGTAGGCGCGACTGGCCAGACAGGCCCAAGAAAACGTGTTGGTAACTAGCTGGGTATAACATATCTAATCTGCTAAAATGAAACTAGAAGTTGAACTCTGCCTAAATTAAAGGAAATCAAGATAACATTGGCTATCACTGAATCCATAATTAAAATGAGTTAATGAACATGTGTGATAGTTACCTGCAATGCCAGACCGTCCAGTTAGATAGTGTGAGTCTGATATACCGATGACAACATGCGAGAGATACTTATATTTAAGTCTACGTTTGGAAATATGACCCGTCAGCTGAGAAAACCGCCAAAGAAGAAAAGAGGTGTGCACGCTATCAGCACGGTCTTGTATTATTCAGTGCAGACAGAATTTCTCACGCCATCACAAAAATCCATAGCATGATGTTTTCTATTATAAATAAACTGTGTATACAAAGAAACTTAAAAATGTCTGTTCTTCTAGGCCTAATAATGTGGCTCATACATGCTAAGCATCGTTTAAATTTCGGCCAATGAAAACAACAGAGGTGTTCCGAGTAATAACCGTGCTGATAGCCACAAAGTTAAATGCGGAAGTTACCGTCATAATATTTTTTAGTAAACAAATGTCTACCTGAGGACAACTGGGACGTCTGATCAAACAGACACCTAGACACAGTCACGTTGATATGATGGAAAAGAAACAGATGGTTGATGTTCATTCAACATTGCTGCCATACAATAGGACGAAATAGCTTACTGCATTTAGAAAGGTACTACGGCAGCTAGCTCGAGTTAACTTGGACAAATAGTAATGTAGGTCAGTTATAGTAATTAAACCATTTTAACATTTGTCAGCAATAACAATGATCTTCCAATATTACAATTACTGCAAACGAACGGTTTAAGATATTGAGTCAACCATGCATTGATATGGATAAGTCCATTATGGTCTACAGTCACACAGGTGAAAGGGTAAATAATTTGAGCACATGGGCTTAAGAAATTTGTAATCCTATAATGGGTAGGGAATTTATTTACACATATTTAACAGCTGCGAGAATAGGGGCTGCGGTGGCCAAGTTGTTATATTAAGGCGGCCGACATTCTGCTACCACTAACCTAGCTGCGATAACGTAGCTTTCTAACGAACAAGATGTTTTTTATATATTGCATCGTCAGAGCTACGAAGCGGTCCTATGCCAACTAATTGAGCAAAATCAAAAGTGTTTATCTGTAAGATTACATGTAATTCACGCCTCAGGAATATAATATTATCAAAATATTACATAATTGTTGAAAAAATGAATCCTTACCAATGAAAAAAACTCTTTCACGAAATTAACCAAGTCCGTCTTTGGGAAAAAATAGAAACGACCGCCATGCCAGGTCACGCGTGATGTTATCTCAATCATCCTTTCTATATTTGGTCTGCATGGCCAAATATAGTATTATACTACTGATGCCGCCATGTTTACGATTTCCATATTGGGTCATGACACCCATATTTAGATGTCTGACCTAAATCAGAAGAGAGACGAACTTTCCAACAATAATTGGCAGTCAATTCAGATTTCAATTGCGCTTCTATGTTAACATGATAATTTAACGACATTTTAGGCAGAGTTTAACTTCAAGTTGTGAAGGATATCAACAAAAATGGTTCATACTTCAACCCTATTTATGGATGCGAACCCTTGTGCTGTCAATTAATTCTAAAATCGCCCGGTGTGATTCACACCGGGCTTGCTCCATTACAAGGCATGGGATTGATTAAATACCCGGCCGGAGCAGAGGAGGCCGGGTATTAATATTAGTACTACCACTAACACTCCACCACTTGGTCGCGGGTTCGAGGCCTACATGGGGCACTTGCCAGGTACTGACTGTCGGTCGGTGGTTTTTCTCCGGGAACTCCGGCTTTCCTCCACCATCAAAACCTGGCACGTCCTTAAATGACCATAGCTGTTAATAGGACATAAAACACAAACAAACCAAAGTGACTGCTTCGACCGGAAATCGAACCTGTGATCCCTATAGGTTCCTTAAGTCAGACGCTCTACCACTAGGCTAAAGGGAAATTCCCTCTAGTTTGAAGCTAAAAGTCGACTGTAATCCTATGTACAATTAAAATCTGCCACATTTCAGTAAACTGGAGGATAAATGATCAATATCAGCACAATATCATATATTATTCAATATTTTAGAGTCAAAGGGGGTTCTGATGAAATGACTTCTATAAACTAGCATTAGTTCTGATAAAATAGACTTTTGAAAATGTTATCCAAATAAATAGCGTCACACAGCACGCACATCAGCAAAGTTTTGTTTTGATAACTATTCTTACCTTTGAATTGTCCATGTAACGATAATCAGCAGCCAATACTCATTTATAAGCTTATAGACAGTTAAATTGTCATAAAAGTATCATCAAGTGAAAACTGCATACAATATAAGTACCTCTTTGCATTGCATGATAGTTTCTTTGTCCGTTTTTCCACAAGTGTCACTTTTTGGGTAAAGTGAATTTAGTCTGATTGACTTGTCAAAATTTGATATTACATTTCATGTTGAATGATATTGGGTTAGTGGAACTATTTTTAGAATTTAAATTTTAGAAGTGGCCTAGCAAATGTTAAGTTTATAAAATTCTCAGGGGATGTATTACTTATCAGATTTCATCCATTTGTTGTTTAGGTTGTATGAGGGAACGTGATTAAGTCTTGAGTGCCGACAATGGAGACATCTAGTGGAGTCGATGTAATGGTGGAGGCGTTACCATGGGAACTGCTCACAGATGGCATCCTTCTGGTGATCATGTCCTTCCTTGATGCCAAAAGTCTGATGTCTGCAGCAAAAACATGCAAGGTAATGACACGATTGAGTTGTAATGTTGACATTAATTCTTAAAACAAGAGTGGATGTGTCGCCTAAGCAGGCAACTCTAATGCAAAAGCAATCCCAAGCAAGCACTTTTAGTAAGAAAGCAACATATGAAGATTGAGTTCAATCAACCCTGAGGAACACAAGTTATTGCACTGAAAACATATTTTCTATTTATTGTAACGGTGACCTTGACCTTTGACCTTCAGACCAAACGGCAAAAAATGAAGTACAGTGTTGCTTTGTCAAGTGTGATACGCCAAAACGCGGAAAGTTGAAACTTGACAGAAAAAATCTGTAATATATGTTGAACATTATTGCTTCTAGTATTACCATACCAAATTTGAAAGGAATTGATCATTTACTACACAATGCCCTTATTTGGCAATGAAAGGAGCATAGCCCCCCCCCCCCCCCCCCCCCCCCAATGAAAAAGGGACAAAGCACTGCCAAATAGCATTTGAATATCACGATTTAAAAACTTTTCCAATGCATTCATGTAATGAAACATCCCATTAAGTTTGACAAAAATTGCTATGTCACTTGTGATATATGCCAAAGCGCAGAAATTTGAAACTCAACAGAAAAACTCGTAATATTTGTTGTACATTATTGCTTCTAGCATTACTGCACAAAATTTGAAAGGAATTGATTAAAAAACAAAAAAGTTATTGCATTTACTACACAATGCCGTTATATGGCAATAAAAGGGGCGTAACTCCATCAAAAATGCACGTAAACTTCTGAAATGCAATCTTGTCAGAGCTTTATTGGTATGCAACATGTGTACCATGTTTGAGGTCCAAGTTTGAGGTCCTAGTTTGAGTTCAATCAACCCAAGGGAACTCAACTTAAACAAGCGGAAATCTTGTTTCGGACGACACAACCGATGGCGCAGACGCCAACAAACTAATATGTATATGTCGCCTCGCGTTGCAGACAACAAAGTAAATAAAACGTCATCAGCTAATACTGTGTTATATAGTTGACTCATATTTCTATGCATCAGTGACAATTTACAAGTTACATACATGTACACGCATCATGATAAAATGCTATACATATAGTTATCCGTAAGATTCAGGAATACTGGCTTTATATTTAATGGTTATTATAACTTAACTCTTTCAAATTTGTATGAAAAATTATAAAATGAATTTCATCACTGCTTAAATAAATATATTTCAAAAACAGATTGTTGGTAAAAAAAATCCTGTTTAAATTAAACTTTAAAATTATCCGACATAAAATATTTTGTTTCTTGTGGAATAAACGGTATTATAATCTTTTTATATTTCTCACCAAATGATGAAGACAACACCTTTGATATTCATATAACAGGAAAGAGAGTAGGGGGGATTCCAACCGGGGATCGAACCCGTGATCCCAGACTTCTTAGTCAGACGCTCTACCACCGAGCTAAAAGGAAATTCCCTCTAGCGTGAAGCTATAAGGCGACTATAATCCCATGTACGATTAAAATCTGCCATATTCACAATATCAAACTTGAACACTCAGTATTTATTACCTTGACAGCAGATCTTTACATAATATATTTCTAATTATCTGACCCTCAGACCTCTACATATTCTATAGTACTAATGACCTTGCTCTCAAGCCTCTAAACACTGTACAGTGCTACGACCTTACCCTCAAATCTCTGTACATTATATAGTATTAATGACCTTGCCCTCAGCACAATTTATAGTACAAATGACCTTGCCTTCAGACCTGTGCACATTATATAGTACTAATGACCTTGCCCTCAGACCTCTTCACATTCTATAGTACTATGACCTGACCTTCAGACCTTTGCTCATTATATACATCTAATGACCTTGCCCTCAGACCTATGCTCCTTATATAGTACTAATGACCTTGCCCTCAGACCTCTTCACATTATATAGTAGTACTAATGTCATTGTCTTAATTGTCTACACATTATTTAGTTATAATAACCTTGCCCTCAGACCTCTACATTTTATAATATATATTATAGTACTAATGACCTTGTCCTTAAACCATAACACATTAGATATTGTACTAATGACCTTGACCTCTGACCATTGCACATTATATAGTACTTATGACATTAACCTAAGACGTTTACACATTATATATTATACTAGTGCGGTTGCAAAGAAGCACTACGACAGGGTAGATACCAATGGAGGCACGAGAAGTGGAGAGAAGGAAGAAAAGAACTGGTGTAAGAACGAACCAGGCTGGTATCAAGTTTGTGAAACCAGGGGAGAAAGCCACAGTGAAGCCTCAAAGCACCTCATCCATCTTTGAACGGACGCCAACATGGGAGATGAAGGTTGACCTTGACAGGAAGCTTGTGTTTCCAGGAATGGTGGAAACAACACTGAGGCCTGACATGGTAATATGGACAGAGCAATCCAGATACCTCATCGCCATAGAGCTCACCGTACCATGGGAGGAAGGCTGCGAGGAAGCTCATGAGAGGAAGAGAGCCAAGTATGATGAGCTGATGGAAAAGTGCAGGAGCAGAGGATGGACAGTATGGCTCTTTCCAGTGGAGGTTGGCTGTAGAGGTTTCCCCGCACAGTCAGTGTGGAGGACACTACAGTCAATAGGATGCACTGGAAGGGCAAGAGCTACCGCCATCAGACGATTGGGAGAAACTGCAGAGAGAGCATCGTGCTGGCTATGGCACAAACGAGAAGAGCCGATGTGGAAGCCGACATAGACGAGTAGTGGTTTGGCCACCACTACTGACCCACCAGCCGGAGGATGTAGTGATTAAGGGTCGAAACATCTGAAGAGGGCTGGCATCTACACCTTATATAGTACCAATGACCTTGACCTCAGACCATTACACTTCATATAGTACTAATGACCTCGCCTTCAGATTCTACACATTATATAGTACTAATGCCATTGTCCTTAGATGTCTTTACATTATGTAGTCTTCATAATCTACCTATGTATGGATTTTGAGAACTGTAGGGACAAATACCTTGAGATTTCTGTAATAATAGCCATTTTTTTACCAACACAATGGAACAGTTAGCTGGAGTTTGTAAACAATTGTACAATCTTAAGATACCCTTTCTCCATAAATAAGCATAAAAAGTGAAACAAACCTCGACTTACAATTACCTTAACTGAAACATCTGGTCTCAAGTGTATGTAGTTCAGCACATTCTCTGTATGTAATTCAACACTGTAGGGCCTTGGCACTAAAGATATTGTACATACTTTATATGGAAAGAATGCTAACAGCGACTGACCATTACTTTTGATCCTGTTAGCCTCAAATGAAATGGGTACAAAGTTTAAGCATGTTAGCCTCAAATGAAATGTGTACAAAGTTTAAGCACTGTTGAATAAAGTGTGCCACTTTTATACTGTGAATACCTTTATATTTTTGTTTTAAATATAGTTGAGATTAAAGATGAACTCCAATGAATTTTAAAGATTTCTGTTTTTGTGATTTTCCCAGCATTGGTACAGAGTGGCACATGATAACTCTTTATGGAAGGATTTGGTCATTAACAAGGTGTCCTCTAAAGACTGGCAGAAAAGAGTCCTCGCTAAGGTTGAGGAGGAGTACAGACAAGGGGAGCGACGTCCGCATGGAACCTGGAAGGTGGAGTATGTGAGGATGGAGGACGAGGCGCCACTGGTCCTCAGTGAGACTTTGGAGGGACACACAGATGAGATTTACCATATCAACTTCTCTGCCAGTGGGAATCTCTTCTCAACCACAGGACGAGATGCCTCAGTGAGGGTAAGCTGAATGACGAGGTCTCTTGAAATGAACTTTGTGTGAGAGGTTTGTATCTCTGACCTTATATAAATTTCATAGGGAAGTTATTTCAACTTATATCAATCACTCTTGTTGACCCAGATGCTAGTGCAATAGGGTTCTTAATGAAAGGTGAAAGGCACATGTGATATCTACTGCACCACCCGGCCTTATGTATGTACAAAAATTACATTAAATATAATCTTGTTAAGGTTTTGTACCAGCAGGGAAATAATATGATAATGTATTGCGTATGGATGTGGACATTTTATAATATCTTAGATATGGATATTAGTGTAAAACTATCTTTAACACTTTTATTTTGTTCACCTCTAGGTATGGAAGTTTGGATACCCATGTACCCTGTATGCTGAGAATACAGATCTCGACTCAATATTGGTGTACACACGATTTTCTGACTTCAACCAATCAGAAACACTGCTGTTGGTAGCTGGCATAGCTAGTTATATAATGGGGGCCGACAGTTGTACCCTCATACTCTCGGTGAAAGGTATGTGTGTTTTGTGGGAAGGTAAAGTCATAATTTTGAAATGGTTGGGACATTGAAAATTCTTGAATACATTGATAGGGGTACTAAGAATATCCATATTCTAGGTAAATTACATGTGGTATACTGTTTTGAATTCCTGTATTGTTATTTTTGTCAGGAGATCATTGTTCGTTCAGTTTCTTATGTGAAGACCTACCTTTATATTAATTAGGTTTGGAGATTCTGTATGCAGTGTCAGGGTCTAACGCCAACTTCCGTGGGTGCTGGCTGGATGACACAGCATTTCTCAACGGAACTTACATATTTACACCTTCAGGCAATAGACGCTTCCTCATCAAGAAACACAAAGTAAGTATTCTACGCCTATGTTCAATAAGATTCATCAGTTTGAAAATATGCGATATATCAAAGTTTTACTTTCTACACAAACAATGAACGTATTAAACGTGTCGCAACGTTTCAAGACCGACGGGTAACTTTGTCAGGTATGACTAAGTGAGCAATTTGTATTTTTTACCTGAACAATGATGTGACAAAATTGTATATTTTTTATGTCACTGACCCGCAACGTTTCGCCCATTGATAGGGTCGAGTGACATAAAAAAATTTATACAACTTCGTCACAACGTTGTACAAGTAAAAAATACAAATCGCTCACTCAGTCATAGCTTGACAAAGGGACCAGTCGGTCTTAAACATTGTGACACGTTTAATACGTACATTATTTGTGTAGAAAGTAAAACTATGATATATTCTACATCTACATGTGTTGAGTATGGTATATGTTGCTGGTGGTGTGTTGAGGTTGTTACAGTATGAAAGGTAAAGGTGATTGTCTCATTTCTAAGAATCGAAAGCCAATAATCCTTTTTCCAAATTTTTTAAGGACAATGAACAGTTTACCGTTTTCAGGATCGAATGTGGCCATCGAAATGTGTACCGTTTTCAGGATCGAATGTGGCCATCGAAATGTGAACAGTTCTTCATTTTCAGAATTGAATGTGGCCATCGACAAGGAAACTATTTTAAAATTGCTCGAATATGATGCTGAAAAAGTTCAAAGGAATTTTTTGTCTCGCTGCCACAAAGTAGCTGAAGCGAGACTAAGGTGTTACTATTCCAGCAACATCGGTGACATCAACATTATGTTTTTGCATTTGAGTTAGTTTCACTGAAAAGATAAGTGCTAGACCAACAAACTTGGACCATAGATGCTCCTAAGGTAGTACATCTCAACCCATGCATCAAATGCTGGATGTGGCCTACCTTTCATGGTCCATTGACTTTGTCAGCATCTCCAACATAACGTTTTGGCGTTTCAGTTAGTTTCATTTCAAATGACTTCTACATTGAATTGATTTCACCGATATATGCATCGATGGTCAAAGCGTGAGACATATTGATCAATCTGATTGGCTTGTATAATATTATTATTGCATAAATAAAAACATCTACAGATGGCATGAGATTTTCCACAATTTACCAGTTTAACACAGTCACATCTATTGTTCAACACATAAACAATTCATTTGTGCATAAGATAAAGTGTATCATAGAAGTAAGACATGGACATGTGTTAATATGATGGTAAAGCTGTGTTTTTTTTTTTTTTTATAAAGAACATGAACCACTTGTCTTACAGAACTAATGGCACAGAATTTGAATAGTTTGAAATCATCCAATGAAAAAAATGTTTGTACATTAAGTTTCTTTTTTTTTTAAGGTGACAGAACGCAGGAAGTCAGATCAGAAAATACAAACACTGATATCAAAAATGGATGCAAAAGGACAACAATTAATGATACTACATCCGTACTGTAGAAACAACGATTTTGCTAGAATTGCGTATCTTCCAACACGCTGCCTACAGCAGCCCATGACGCCTTCATCAGATGCAGTGTTACCTCTAAGTGAACAGTTTGAATATATTGACTCAGAACAACAGGATGAACAAAGTGAAGCAACTACAAAATCAGAAGTGCGTCCAGGGTCCAGTCAGGACTTTGACTCAGTGGCCAGTTGTTCTGCCAGCGAAGACGTGTCACCTGTTTTGATTTTGGCAAACAGTACAGTAGAATATCCATCGACAGGCTTTCTAAGTTTTTACAGAGTTCCTGAAACAACAGAGGAAACTTTTGAAGCATGTAAGAAATTTGGTAGTGCTGATGCAGGCTGTCCAGGTGGTTTGGTGGGAATGCGACTGTCCTCAGATAACAGGTGGGTACCTGTCCAAAGTGTTTCTGTTGTTGTAGTTACGTAACAATGTCCGTCGTCTGTCCATCAACTTTTTCATTTAAAAGCATTCTCCTTCGGAACAGGTGATCTGAGTTTAACACAATATGGACTCAAGCAGCACTGGGCCAAGTGGAGGATACCTTATCTACGTGGTGAATCAGGACATACATGTATCACCCAGATCCTATAATTCAAGATGGCCACCATGGCTTCCGACTGCAGAAAGGCCATTCAGCTTGGTACTTGTCAGATTCAAAATGTGTAATGCCTTATTGCACATATTCCAAACTCTATGATAATTGCTGTGACTTATTATTGAGTATTATTGGGGATATATATAATTAGTCACACAGCAGGGCCCCTTGCTGAGCTGAAAAGGTCCTAGCTTATCTGTATCTGAATAGACAGTAAGATATTAATTACAAATGTACTAAGGAAAGTTCTGTATTGAATCAAATATATTTAAAAAAATTCAAGAACAAAGACAAAAGTTTAAAAAGTGATAAACCTGATCTTTTGCAGATTTATTGCGTTCAACTACCGGAGTTGTACATTGGAGGACGGAGAGTATGAGAATGGTTGTTATGTCAAGAGCATTGACCTCAAGGTGTTTGACCTCTACAACATGTGTTTTACTGACATTGCCTACAAGGGTCACTCAGCCACCTCGGAGGATCACCTCAGTTACATATTCCCAGCAGTCTCCGAGCACTACATAGCAAGGTAATGTATCTACACAGAGGTCACAATTAATGACCTCTGCATTGTCAGATAGCACTAAGTAGCCATGTAGGTTGCCTGTGTATTTATCAGTTATGGACTTGTGTTGAGGTTGATATGTCGTTATATGGACCAGATAGAGTGATATGGACCGAGGACGCAGTCCACGGTCGTCATCACTTTATCAGCTCCATATAACAACGTTTTGACAGAGATAAAAGTCCTTAGTTTTTATAATTCATATCATGTCTTCAGAAAACAGGAGATATCAGATATTAAAATAGTGATAACAAGGGGGTTGTTTTCAAAATGCAATTCTTGATTTCACTTTAGAAACATGAGGTTGATTTTGTCACATGCAAGACAAAAGTAGGTACAGTATATGGAGTTGATATGCTATAAATTGGCGAACCTAAGACCAAGCCTTATCATATTGTCTGCCAATATTTTCTGTTTTAGTGGGAGTGAAGTAGAGAAAGGCTACCTGTGGGACAGACATTTTGGCAACATTCTGGGAGAACTAGAGCATGCTGCACAGCCTGGAAACGGAGGAGTAAACGCGTCAGTGTTCCACCCCAACTCAGAGGAAGTTCTCATAACTCTCGGTGACGACAGGAAAATAAAAGTCTGGCGGTCAAAGCGACTCCTACGCGAGCTTGGACACAGTGACACGCCCATCAGTGTTTTCAACCAGAACAGCCACAAAAACACTGAACAATACAGAGCTCATGATAAATCAACATCTAAGGGTGGCTCGTCAAGGTTTGATAATGGTGTCGACCAACCAGATGGATTCATCGATGACGAGGTTGTAACGTGCTGTATAATGAAAAAAAAATCAAGAAAGACCAAGATGAGTTTCTAATATTTCAAAGGATTTTTTTGTGTATTGGTTGCAACTTTCTCAGCGTGCAAATGTGAAATGTGAAGTTGGCATTTTTCATACGATACATATGTTTTTGATAGCAGATGGTGAAAAGGGGTGCTGGGAGCACATTTTTAGGCCCGTTTTAGACTTTAATACAAATCCTACTTGTTTTGGTTCAATTTTTTCTCCTGAATATAATTAATGTCTTTAAAAAGAAAACCTTCTTTGATTAAATCATTTTGAAATTAGTGAGAATAAGTTTCTAGGATTATTGATGGGCTGGACACTGATTGTTGAAGTGCCATTTTCCATTTTAAACCACTGAATAAAAGTACTTGGTGTTTCTATAATATACAGAATATGGAGATATTTAGTGCTACACTTATTGTAAAATTGTACTACCAGATCATGAAATGACAAATCTGCTCAATAACAATGATTAATGTAGAAGTGATTCTATCAGTCTTATTTATATTTGCATTGGCTATCTTTTAATCAGCCTGCAGAATGTTTTCAGTCATTAATTATTTGAGATGTTTATTTCCATAAAGCTGTGACTCTTTTTATCACAAATAATGTGTCATTTATTTTACACAGATCATCTGGGTACTTGTCATTTTTATAGAAAACTGTTTCAAAACCAATTAGATGTGTATGTACATATATTATAGTCATTCATAGTGCTTTATACTTCTCATTACTGAAGGTTAAAAGTACCATCAGATTAAAACATACTATCATTGGCGGTATTATATAGTATATACTATAGAATCATTTATTTTTTTGGGTTAAATTTCCTGGTTTTCATATATACTTACCTGTTTCAAGGACATTATATTTGGCTAATTTCTGATTTCCGCCTATCTATATCATACCAAATTTATGTTTTCGTTGGGATAATTTCATGGATTTTTGTTAATCACGAAATAAACGAAATTCGAAGTTCCACAAAAATTTATGATTTTACAGTAGTCATTCACAGTGCTAATTACTGAAGGTAAAGAGTACCATCAGGTTAAAACATACCATCATTGGCGGTATTATATAATATTAGAGCATTTTTTGCAGATGTGTAGACATCCTTAAGATGCATTTATTTTACAGAATAATATAATCGGATTGAATAGGATTTATTAGGATTTAATTCTGTAAATAAGCGACACAATCAGCAATACAAAAATTCTAGTAAGGGTAATGGTGACCATGCAGGGCAGGCTATGACCTGATGTAGCACCTTAAATCATCCAAGATATTCTCATCATTGACTTTTGTACAAACATCAAGCTGGTAGATTATTTCATAATTTTCTATAAGTAGAAACATTGACCTTTGTACACTGAAACATGAGATCATCTGAGATTTTCTCTAATTACTTGACTTTTGTATAAAATTTGATAAAAATCTGTTAGGAAATGAAGTTGCTTGAGTGATGGCATTGGTTGATTATGTTATTTTTTTTATAGAAATAGCAATAGTGACCTCATCCTCGATACTCCAGGGGTTACACTCATGCACTCACATTCTCCGCACCCCTAAATATGTCATAGCAAAATTGAAGGCTTTGTATGTGCAACCTAGTGGATGATACAAGTTGGACATTGAAAGAATTGCACTACAGTATAACGGTAAAACTGACTGGCTTTGAATTCCGGTATCGCTCCTCCGTAATCTTTAAAGGACAGTTATCAACCGAGCATTAGTTAAAACTTTTTTACCTAAGACAAATCAAATGGCTAACTTCAAGCTTTCCATTTTTTTCATGACATATTCCAGGGGTGCAGAGAGCATAAATGAGTGTTACCCCTGGAGTATCGAGGATGTAGGGACCTTGGCCTTGACCTTGGAGTCATGAAATACAACTTTGTTTGTGCTACCTTTTTATAAATTTAATCAAAATTTGTTCAAAAAAAATATGTTACGAAAGCAATAACAATGTTTTAGGACACAATGGGATGGACATTCCCGACATTAGTATAACACTGTATATGCCTCAATAAACTGACAATAAAATATGTATAGCCTCTGAACATCTGATTTCCCGTGAGAAATGTGTATCCTTAGAGAATCCAATATTTTTGGGCTAATGTGTTTGGTCTCTGAAGATCTGACTTCTAGTAGACAATTCATATGGTTTCTGAAGACAAACAAGGGAAAAATTGGGAAAACGTTTGAGTTAATTGAGTTTGTGAAGACAAAATGTAGGGTCGATCAGTACGTATACAAAGTTTTCTGTTTCCAATACTACTGAACTCCTAGGATGTTCTGCTGTACATATAAAGATAGAGGACAAAAGGCTCGTGTACAAACGCTGTACTCATTGAGGTTGACTGGTGATAAGAAAAACACTTTTTTTTATCAAATTTGTCTGTGATCGTACTTGTAACATACTACTACAGGTACAGCCGGGGTTTGTGATTTTTGAAGTTTGAAGGCACATGTTTATATGTATGTTTTTATGTAAATGTGTGAATATATGTGAATGTGTGTGTTTATGTGAATGTGTATATTTATTATTTTTGTTATTTATACATGTTATTGCTCAAGTTTATCTAATAATTTGTTCTACGTTTCTGTACTGTGAAGTTAAGAATGCTACTAGTTATTGACTGTGACATATATAACACAGGGAAAATTGTCAGGTGGCCTGTGTAAATGTTTGAACGTCTTTGTTAGTGACGACACCTTTGAAAGGTACGATATACTAGAATGATTGCATTAATAACACTTACTTTGCAGTAGGTGATTTGGAGTGAATTAAGGAAGATTACTCTATCAAAAATCAATGTATGATGTAGCATGTAGCCGAATTCAGCATGGTTTTTGACTGTGTTTGTTTTGAAGAGTTTAGCCAATGAGGATAAATAACTAAACGGCATCTGCTAACTGCCCTGAGGTTTTACACTTCTGTCCACAACATAATGGTATTACGTTATAAATTAATTTTCCTGAGATCACATATGTTCATCATCCCCAAAATTCCAGGTGTTACGCTCGCTTATGTTCTCTGCACCCCTTAAATATGTCAAGACAAAATCAAAGGCATGCAGTTAGCTACTTGATTTGTTTTAGGTAAGAAAATTTGACCAATTGCAAGGCATATACCTGTCCTTTGAAGATTAAAGCGGAGCAACACCCGACTACCATTAGGCTTAAACATTATACTTTTGATGCATATCAAAAAGTATTCAATGATTTGAGTAGTCCAGTTGTACACGAGTGTTATCCACAAGGTGGTCAGTACGGAGCCTTTGATTCAGTCGTGACATATTCTAGGGGGGACGAGAACGTTACAGAGCGTTACACCTTGAATTTCGAGGATGCATATTCGAAAGTCATGTCAGGATCTCAGGTAAAACCTGGCTAATCTCAGTCCAATTAAGGAAGACCCCGAGTAATTGTTAAATAACTAGGTATGTGGTTCACTCTTGTTTTGAATCTCATTATAGTTTATGAACTGGGCTTGAACTGTCATTCTAAAATATATACATTGTTCATGTCCATATCCTGCCATTACTTAATTAAGCATTTTTTTTTTTTTCGTCATTTGGATATTTTGCCATTCAACAAATATCATGCTTCAACTTGCAATATTGCCTGTAAATATCTAATTTCATTTGCAAATAATGAAGATTTACAGAGAAATTTTCAAGTTACAAGACTTGTTGAACAGTCTCTAATTATAAGTTAAACAAAACCATCTTCAATAAAAATGTTTGTGTGATGATTTTTAAGTAGTCGAATATTTAATAAAATATTTCGCAAACTATTACATTGTTAGTCATACATCTCCGTTTGTCAATGAAAGAAACATATTTAAACAGCGTGTCCAAAGTATTATAAACAAGATCTATGTTTTACTGTGAATCAGTAAAATTTCTTTTTGTGAGAGCTATCTTTTGGAGACAACTCATGATGAGAATTAATCACGAGTAAAACAATGCAAAACAAAAAAACAAGAAAACTGACATAAACTGTGGGATATAAATCTGTATAAATATCAGATTACAAGTCTTCAAAAAAAGTTATTTAAAGCACCATACCAAAAATAAGTGATTTACTGTACTGTTCCCTACCCATCTTTCTGGACATAATACAGACTGTGCGTTCCTCTTAATATCAAACCATGATATTAAGCAAAATGTTACATTAAGAAGTATGATATTAAATGGCATCCATGACACTGTAACAGTTCTTTGTTACTCATCGTTTATGTACAGGACAAGATATGAAAGATAAAAACATGTTGTTTGTATTTAACCATTTTATTACAAAACAGGATTTCTGATTAATGTACAAAACTTATTTATTTATATTGTCCTAATATAAAATTTCTACACACTTGTATAACACATATTATAGGATGACCTTGACCTACAAATGACTGCAAGTCCAAGGTCAACACAGTTGTCAGCATCTACAACATTCAAGCTCTAAATGTTCAAAAATATATAAATATTTCATTCTCTCTGCAATTGACCAAATATTTCTTACTTTGATAATCACTATTCTGGTAACAACAGGAAATACATGATATTTGATTAATCAACATTTATATGATGCACATTAAATGCCTGTATACTAACATACTAAACTAGGGGAGGCTATCCAGATTTGGGCACCTGTACATAGCCACAAACCTTGATTACAAGTCGGGCAATATGAAATCTATCCAACTGAATTTGCTTTCTGAGATTTTTAAATGATGAATAGAATAGCCGGCTGATTAAAAGGACTGTCATCATCTTACTAAAGCTCACAAAGTTGTCTTATAAAATAAAGCTTAGTGAAAATTGAAGAAAAAAAACCCTTAAATCTTCAAGAAGAAGAAATAACCTCATGATCGACAATTGATATAAGATCTAATGACTTTCTTGCTAGAATTTTAAAAGGCCAAGGATCATTTTTTTATTTTTTTATTAAAATTTAGAGTTTCTGGAGTTTTCTGTAATTTAGTATAAATATCTGAAGTAAATGGATCAGCCAATATAAAGCAGTCTGCTTTTCTTTCAATCTGAAATATGAAATGCTCCTAAAAAATCATATAAAAGATGTACATATCACTGATAAACATAAAATCAAATTACCAGTACTGGAATCATTTTAGAAGTGCCATAAGGCTTTTGGTTTCTTCACCAGGAGATCTAAGGGGTTTCCTACCCAACGGACGAAAGGAAAATCGCATAAGAAAAGTAAAGGAGTGCCCTGGCAACTAAAAAAATTAGTTTGTTAAAGCTATCATTGGATAAGTACAGTTTGATGTCCATATGACAATTTCTTGTCAGAGGAAAAAATATTTCATTATAAGTATGAACTTACTGTTACCAAATTCAATGACCATGTTTTACTGTATATTTGTCCACTACTTTTTGACACCTCTGACAACGTTATAATAACTGAATATATCTGGAACCTAAGAAATTAGTTTGTTATAGCTATAATTGGATAAGTAGAGTTTGATGTCCATATGACAATTTCCTTTTTAGAGGAAAATGTTTCATCGTAAGTAATGACATATTTTGAACATGTTTTACATATAAGTAAAACATGTATAACCCATTATAAATTATCCACCATGGTTCTTATGTCCTCTGCCATGTTCAGCACCTTGACAACAATAGGCGAAGTCTGAAGATCTCCAATGACGTTTCCTCCCATCTCACAGCACTTCATGACCTCCTGCAGAATCAATAGAAAATCAGGAATATTGTTACATGAAACTAGTCATCAGTGATCAAAGTTGTCCAGCAGAAACATCATATTGAACTGTGATGGTTAAAAATAAGATCGTTATAATAATTCGACCACATATATTTTTGTTATATGAATTTTACAGCGAAATTATGAAAATCTTTTTGTTGGTGACCGTATTTTGTGAAAAATATCTTCAAAAACTGTTGTCATGAATAAATGCGCTTTAGAAACATGTCTCGTTCAATATAGATCCCATTGACGAGACTATATAAACATACCATAGGTACAATAAAAAAAAGTCAAAATTAAACATGGAGTTACATTCATAAGTTATTTGAATTGCAGAATGAAGTGCTTCAAAGCAAGCCTCCCACACCTGTGAATAAGCCCAGGGGTCAGAATCCTTAGAAACAGGATATATTTATATACTATAATTTGACCTTTAATGCAGGAGCTTGGCTTGTTGTGTGTGCAAAATAATACTTATACCTGGGGATATGTCAAATCTAATTGGGGCTTAATAATGAGGATGGCATATCACCAGTAAAATAAGACATTTAATTTATGTCAAAAAATAAAATAAAAGTATGGTAAATATCCAGCATGTGATCAGAGTGTTGATAGTCCATGATTCACAGTGAGATCGTTTTCGCCAAAGAAAATGAAACGAAATTTAGAAAAAATTTGGAGATACCAAAGTGGCTAGACTAGTGATTCTCAAATCAGAGAAAATACTGACAGTTAACTTGTTCACCTCTGAAGACACATTCAAACTCTTCCAATTCAAAGGTTGGGATAGTTCATTATGAAATTTCAGGGGTGAATGAGTTGAGCTATAATACAGAATATGGTGAGAGTTGATTGTGAGATGTCTGACCTGATCCAAAGGAAGTCTGCCGATGATTGGGATATTGAACTCAGCAGCAAGGTTGTCCAGACCTTCAGAAGGAAACAACTCACTTGATTCCTGAAAGTATAATTACATACATATTCACACATGCTCTATAGGAAATATTTACAAAGTATTGTATTCAGTATAGTATAAATGTTTATTATCATGAGGTTAAGTATTAAAAGCAATCGATAGTCCTTTACCACTGGACAATCGTTTGTATCAAAAATGAATAAAAGGACAAAATTTAAGAGCAAATTACACACAAAATTTGGCAATGGTAGGTGACGGTGTACGTGATATATGCCACAAAGTGACCAACAGTGAACAAGGGGCCATAACTCTGTCAATAGTACAACATGCAACGTTTTTTTAATACTCTATATTTCACTATCACAAGAGATACACCAATACATGTACAACTTTTGGTATTTGTAGGTGATAAACTGTGTCCTGGACGAATTAATGCTCAGTAAACAAAGGGCCATAACTCTTTTAATAGTATGACATGAGAGCTCATTTAAGAACTCTACATTCCGCGTTCTTAAGAGGTACTACCATACAAATTCTGGTAATTTTGTATGTGACAGTGATATACCATGGACATAAGAGTTATGCCATGGACAATGTAATGCTTGATAAACAAAGGGCCATAACTCAGCATGGTGTACTAGACCTAACATCGGTATGCATCATTCCATTATAGGTATAACACACAAAATTCGGCAATTATAGGTTACAGGATATATGTGATACACAGAGTGCAAACCTATACTTCCCTCTGGTATTATTACTGGAGGGGGACTATGTATACATACAATGTTATCAGTGTTTGGACAACTTGCTGATGTTTGATGCTTTGTTTCAGTATCGATCTATATTTTTATCAAGATGATGGAAATATCTGAATAGGTGGTCAGGTAACAAAATTCTCAGTTTATGCCTGGTAATCTGTACAGTATATAAACCAGATCCTTATCCCAGTATCCGACTTCACAAATACCACACATACTACTTACTCCGCAGCATGGACAGATGTAATTCTCCATATTCCCCACTAAGCCCAGCACCCGAACACCCATCTTTTTGCAGAAATTAATTTCTTTACGAATGGTTGACAATGCTACGGCCTGCGGCGTTGTCACAATGACAGCTCCATCTGGTTTCACATTTTTGAGTGCTTTTATAACAGTTAAATGTTCATCGCTGGTTCCTGGAGGTGTATCTGTAACAAATAGTAAACCTTAGGTGACATTTACACCTGTAGTGATAGCTATGGAGCATAATGAACTGAATTATTCAAATCTATGACAGCTGAGTGTTTGTTGAACATCATTCATCAGATTTTCTTTCAAGTATTTTACAGATTTCCAGATTATATATTGTATTACATACTGAGAGGTGTATACCAACAGACCAAGCTGAAGGTCTGATTTATGAAGATTTCCAGATAAGAGACAAATGTATACTTAGAGATCTAGTTCATATCTGGTTTATATGATATACCGGTTTTCATATTATACAGAAGATGTATACATACAGATCTAGACCTAGTTGAAAATCTGATTTACACAGGTTTTCACATTATACAGAGAATGTACCAGTACACCCACAGACTTAGTTGTAGTTCTGGTTTTAACAGGTTTTCGCATTACACAGAACATGAGTATTAACAGACAGAGTTGAAGGTCTGGTTTACACAGGGTTCTAGATTACACAAGTTTCTGTTAACACAGTTGTAGTTTTTTCACGATCTCTGCACTCGCAGAAAACAATGTTAACTTCAAACTTGGAATGCACGTTTGAAGTATCTTATTTACAAAGATGTTTTAAAAATCAAAGCAATGAAAAGATAAGGTAAATTTGTACTAACATGACATCCTTTACGACTTAATTCGGAGCAGATTATACACTAGCAGCCGACAACTACATGTCCATCTAGGCTTATTTGATCACGTACGATCGAAGGTGCTTTTCGCCGGAATTTAGCAAGTATTTTGGCTGCATATTTAAATGAAATAAATATATAACAAGAGGCCCATGGGCCTTAACAGTCACCTGAGTCTATAGTATTTATTTTTGTTGTTGAAATATGTACCAATTTGAGTAAAAAATAGTATAATGTTAACTTAACTTTGTCAGGACCATGAGCTGATCATTCCTAGACCAATTTTAAGTGAGATCGGCCTATTAGAACTTAGTAGCAAAATAGCGGCCATGGCAGCCAAATTGTATTTCTGATTGACCCGAAAAATAACAACACTTTGTCAGGACCATGAGGCGATCATTCCTATCAACTTTCAGTTCAATCGGCCCAGCAGAACTTGACTTTAAGTTTGAAATGTAAAATGTTAACGGACGACGGACGACGGACGACGTACGACGTACGACGGACGACGACGGACGAAAACGGATAGCAATAGGTCACTTGAGCTAAAGCTCAGGTGACCTTAAAAGCGATTACTTCACTGATAATAAAGAAAGTCGTGTTAGTTACAATTTTTTTTAATTAAACTATCTTCTTTGTAATACTATATCACTTTGACATTTAAATACGATAATTTCCGGGTTTTGACACCTGAAATGGTCAGAAAAACATGTTTTCTTTTTATGTCACTTTCCGGTTAATATCACATTTTCATCTGACAAATCAGAAGTGATAATAAGTGAAATCTACTGTACTTACCACAGATAAGGAAGTCAAGTCTACCCCAGTAGGTGTCCTTGATGAACCTTTTTATCAAACCTGAAGAGTTTAAACAATAGTATTATGCAGGTTGGAAAAGAGATAACAGAATACTAAAACACAATAATATGCTATTGATAGGTGAAACGTCCTAAAGTCCAGTGACAAACAAAGTTTACAATTTCATCACATCATCGTACAGGTTAACAATACAAATCACTTGCTGCCATACCTTGACAAGTCGGTCTTGAAATGATGCAACCTGTTTGATCAATAGTTTTATATGTTTAAAGTAAAACTTTGATGCATACATGTTTCTAAACCTATGAATCTGCTTGAATCCTTGGTAAAAATCAGCTGGATTAGTAGAAATCTACTGTTACACATCATTACAGGGTGAGACCTATCTGCTGAGTAGCTAGTAAACTACTGTTACACATGGTTACATGGTAAGACATATCTGCTGAATAGCTAGTAAGCTACTGTTACACATGGTTACATGGTAAGACATATCTGCTGAGTAGCTAGTAAACTACTGTTACACATTTTTACATGGTAAGACATATCTGCTGAGTAGCTAGTAATCTACTGTTACACATGGTTACATGGTAAGACATATCTGCTGAGTAGCTAGTAATCTACTGTTACACAT